CTTTTTTTCTTTCTACACTGACAATATGAAGTGTCAAATAAGTGTGTGCTCATACTTATGCACTATTGGAATAAAAATAGAGTACACATACGTTTGTGTGTGCGTGTACACATACGATTGTGTTCGTGTGTGTGTGTGTGTGTGTGTGTGTGTGTGTGTGTGTGTGCTTACATCTGAGATCAAATTTGCTACAGTCAAAAACCCCCTGTTGTGAAAAATTTCTTGCTGCAAACATGATTTTGTTGTAGAGGAGTTTCACTGCGTAGCGTAAAGCATGATAAACATCTCGAGGCTACTCTGATCAATTTTCAGTTGGATTTTTTCAACGGGCTCAGTGCAGTACATTAAAATGCAAAATAAGACATTTCTTGTCGCCACGTGGTGGTTCAATATTGTATAACAAAATATAGTCATACAGGTGTCTTCAGGCCTTGACTACTTATATACATGTGAAGTTTGGGATTTTTTTATAACACGTGAAGGGGAGTTAATAAGCGTTTCCTTCTTTATAGTGAAACATTAAATGTAAATTTTGATGCCCTGCCCCCATCTTATAGTATTTTGAAAACTGAAATCTTTTTCCCTGTTGGTGTCCCAGGTCTTAAGATGGTCCAGCTGAATTTTGAAGACATTAGGGTGAATCCTCCAGGTGCGAGAGTCTAGGACAGGGGTCCTCAACTAGAAATGCTGTAGGTCCACTTTTTTTTTTTTTTTTTTTTAATAAGACCAAGGTCCGGTCCCATGCACGGCGGTCATGGGGAGCAGGGCTATATGTCCATTTCGTATGGTCAAGCCAAGCTTATACAAATCAACACTCCTCACAACCAACCAATAAAGGGGTGCATGAAAATAACAATTATTCACTTTGCCAGTACACAGCAAATAATGAGAGGTATTGTGTTGAGGCACAGGAACTCCTTTATTTTGTTAAGTTGTGCCTGCTTAATAATAGAAATAGCCCTTATAGGGAAATAAGACATTTTTACTTTAACTTTGTTAAACAGTAGTTGTCTTTTTTTCCCTTAATTTAACAAAAACAAAACAAAATACTCATTTTACCAAAATAAATACTAAACATGAAAACAAAAATATCCTTCTCATTTGTACAATTCCCCTTTTCAACATCCCCTCTGAAATCACTAAAAAATATATCAGAAGAGGAGTTAAGAACCAGTTTAAAAACTGACACAAGGGAGCACAGTAATGTGCAGTGCTGTTCTTCCACTAAAGGTGAATGCAATGTTTGAGGCATGCAAATATTATTTGAGGACGCCATTGTGATGTTCATTTACCATGTTGCGGTGTTCTGCTGTTAAACAGCTGCAAAGATCCCCGGGTAGATGGGAGCAAAACTGCACACAATCGAAACCTCCCGCGATTTGTCTTGTCTAATTGTCTGTGTGCGGCTCTCCTGGACTGAAGCTGTGAGCACACTGTGGCGTCGTGCATGCGTCTGTTTCCTGACACAATCATCCATTTTGAATGCCTGTGTTTTGGGATAGACGGGTGCTGACGCTTATGTATGGGCACACCTTAAGTTCAGAGGAGCCAATCAGCGCATCGTATATGCTGACGCTTATGTATGGGCAGACCTTAAATTCAGAGGAGCCAATCAGCGCATCATTATCGCCGACATGCCCTGCTCAGCCAGGGTCTCCAGTTAGTCAAACATTATACAACACACAGTCGCGCTGCTGCGGTCCTCTGCAATACATCTGTTAGTGCATGCGAAGAATACAACGGATAATTTTAACAAACGATTGCGGTAATGCGCAGATTATAGTCCACAAATATAAAATGTATAACGTAAAAATCACTTTATAAATTATTATTTCATACAATTTGCCGAGGGTCCGGACAGAGGAGGTCCGGACAGAGGAGGTCGTGGTCCGGTAGTGGATCGCGTTTCGCCAGTTGAGGCAGGCTGGTCTAGGACAAAGGTGCAAAAGTGTGACTCTCCTCAAATGTGTCAAATTTTGATAAGAAATGATCATCTGAGTAAAGTTACAGCACAGAGTATTGTCGGGGTGAAGAATCAGATTTTACAGCATTGTAATGGCCACACCTAAACACACAATATATTTTATGATTTAGAGCAGGGATGCCCAACCTTTTTTGACCAAAGATCTACTTTTTGATCAACCAACCTCCCATGATCGCCCCGTTACCACACACATGCACATACGCACACATGCCATGATGAGCAACAGCCATAACGGCCCTGAACGAAACAGAAAAATAGACTGCCTACCTAAGTGGGAGACCTAACGCGGATGCATGCAGCGCACTTTTGCAGCCCGTTAACTATCGTAGCTCATGTGTACCGTTTTAAAATGCTTCTCTCGGCCCTTCAGATTCCCATTCTTTGCGAGTGCCACCAGTGAATTGTACACGAAATAAACTTTGAATGATAATAATGACAATAAAAGGTATATCGCAACAGCTCTGATTGCAAGCTGCAATTGCTGACTGCTGAGCGCAAACAACTTCCGGTGATGTAGGTCACGCGCAACCGTAGGTTAAAGGTGACCTGCTATATTTTATTTATTTTTTTCAAATACTGTTTGTGAAAGTGAGACTTATAGGATGATTAGGGGGCAGTGCGCATCAACACAAAAAATATGTGAATAACATGCAGAGACACACAAATGTTTGGGTTTTTTTTTTCCTCTACACCAGTGGTTCTAAACTTGGGTTCGATCGAACGCCAGGGGTTCGGTGAGTCGGTCTCAGGGGTTCGACGGAGCCTGTGCCGTCGAGGGTAAGACACATGCGACTCAACATGTTAATTAGTTATGACACGCCCGCTTGTCCATCACTGGCTGCAGATGATCACATTACATTGCTTGTCCAATCAGTGCTGTGGGAAATTTAGTTTGCTTAGTAGTCAACGTGTAACTGTCATGACAGTACGTCGTACAAAAAAAAAAAAAAATTATACTTATCTCATGACATTTTATTTACTTTTTTCTGTTTTTAATAAATGTCCTTTTTTTTTAAAATCTTGAATTTATAAAAAATATATACCGTATTTTCCGCACTACAAGGCGCACCAAAAAGTATTTTCGTAAAAGCTCACCGCACGCCTTAAAATCTGGGACGCCTTGTGTATGGTCATTACGGTAATACGTCGACCCCAAGATGGCTCCTTGCTGGAGACATGCTTACAATGTTAAAACTTGCTGTTGGTTCAGTGAACTGTGTCGCTGCTTTATTAAATACGTTTTTGTTGCAGCTCCGAAAAAAGGAGAGCTGTGGTGTTTTTTTAAAACGCACATTTTATTAATGGTTTTCACAGTCTCAACAAATAGAGGTATGTCTTTGTCCGTCTCCATGCCTTTCGTTCGACTTGAGAGGTGTTTATGACCGCCTCCGAAAAACGTAAATTAACGATTCCTTCAATGAAACTACGAAAAGTGAAAACAATGCATCAAAACAGAAACTCACGCAAGGAAATCACAAAATAAATTCTGTAGCCCCCCTACAGAATTTATTTTGTGATTTGATTTTTGTGATTCGTTTGTGAATACAGTACACAACAAACGAATAAATAAACACTTCTGAGACAGTCCAGTCTCCTACATTTTACTGACATCTCAAGCCAAGTACAACTTTATTGTCAAATGTGCTGTATACAGCACAGATGAAATTTCCTCCCTTTTAAACAGACAACAAGACAACATCTGATCGTTCTGTTGGAACTACGCTCAAGGAAATGCCAAAATAAATTCTGTAGGGGGGCTATAGAATTTATTTTGTGATTTCCTCGCTTGATTTTCTGTTTTGATGCATTATTTTCAATTTTCATAGTTTCGTTGAAATAATTTACGTTTTTCGGAGGCGGTCATGAACGCCTCTCGAGTCAAACAAGAAGCATAGCTCCATCTAGTGGATGCATTGCAGATTGCGCCTTATAATCCAGTGCGTCCAATATATGAAAAAAAATTTACAAAATAGGCCATTCATTGAAGGTGCGCCTCATAATCCAGTGCGCCTTTTAGTGCGGAAAATACGGTATCTATATTTATTTTTCACTCATGAAGGGTTTGGTGAATGTGCATATTAACTGGTTGGGTTCGGTACCTCTAAAAAGGTTAAGAACCACTGCTCAACACCCCTCACAATCGACTTGAGACCAGTTGGCGAGCTACCAGTCGATTGTGATCAACGTAATGGGTACCCCTGATTAAGAGGGTAAGAATGGATACAAAATTCAATCAGAAAATTGTCTGTATAATGACCCTGGTGAGGAAAAGCGGTTCAGGAAATGAATAGATGGCTGGATGCATTGCTGTTCAACGACAACAAATTTCATGTGAAAAAAAAATTATTTAATTTTGTATGACTACATTCTCAATTTTACGTGGTTGAAGCAATAACATACATGAAAATAACATATTATGATTAGGCCAAACAAAAAAGATGAAATTTCTCCCTGCTCCGGACTCGGGGGGCCGGGGCGCGCCGCCGCCTCCGCCGTCCTCCTCCGCCGTCCTCCTCCGCCGTCCTCCTCCGCCCTCAGTTTTTACTCGGCCCGTGGTGTTCATCCAATAGTTCGCTTTATTTTTTCGATACATCAATGGATGCTATTTTCTTAACATTATGGTGCGAGCACGCGACTGTAACACAGAAAACGCGGTTGAAACTGTCGTCGGAGATCGTGGCCGCCGCCATGTTTCAATGTTGTTGACAGACAACAGGGCAAACGACACACGCGCTCTATGTGAATATCGCGAGAGTTTGCACCGATGTAAACCCTCTACACAAAAATGTAGAGGGTTGTTTGAAAAAAATACCGACCGTAAAGTTTTTTTTTCGACGTAGAAACTCGGGTCGGGTTACTGGAAACTTTTTTTTCTACGCCTTATAGAGTAATGACTATGAACAGTTTGCAGATTTTTGCAGTCGGCCATCACAGTCCCTGCAAGATCCTATTTTAAAAAGGGAGCACTCACATATCTAGTCAATCTCGAAGAATCTCGGTGAACAAACCTACGAGACAGGCGGGGTGTGTTTCTGTCAGGCGTTAGCAAAACGGGCGTCCATCAGTGATGGACTGAGAGGCCCATCCGCACTTGACCTGGTTTGTGACGGTTACACAAACGAACGAAAACCCACATACATCAGTCCTTCGTCCGCCATTTTTTGGTTTTAGCTACCCATCATTCGTCAGCAAAGCGCACGTTGCACGCACGCACGCACGCACGCACACAATAAGCATTTCTAAGTAGTTCCAAACTTTTGAAAGGTTGCGTATTTATAGAAGGAGGTGCTTATGAGTAAGTGACACATGCATTTGGAATTCATACTCTAAATGACTATCAAACTCAAGGCCCGGGGGCCAGATCTGGTCCGCACGTCAAATCATGTGGCCCGTGAAAGAAAATCACAGTCAACTTCCATGATTCTTGCGAAAATATGTACCAAAATGTCAAATTGTTAGACAAAAAGTTACGATTTTGAGAGCATTTTCTTATGCTACAACAGAAGTTTTTGAACAAATGGTTGAACAAACTACTATTCCTGACTTTTGATTTTAAAAGTAGTTATACATAAATTCCCTACTGTATATGTAATATTACAAAGGGGTGATTAAACATGTACAGTACAGTATAAGGTTTCACGGTCATAATGGCCCTTTGAGGGAAATTGTAACAACATTGTGGCCTACGACAAAAATGAGTTTAACATCCCTGCTGTTCGAAGTAGTTAGGCAAGAAATATCGAGTCACCTCACCTTCAAGCCCAGTGAGCACAGGAACATCTGGGCAGCTCTCTCTCCACAGCTGGTCAGATAGCAACCAAGCAGAGCCTCAACACAGTCAGCGATGCTCTTATCTGCTATACACTGCTCTGTATGCAAGTCGTAAGAGATGGACTGCTTTCCAAGCTCGGTGCCGTAGTTCTCCTCTGATGGATTCCAAAAACCCACCACAAAGTCATCCTCCTCACCTGCCTTGCTGGGGTCCAGGTAGCACATCGCATCCCATGAGCTGTAGTCAAAGTCCTCGGCCGAAGACATTGCGGATATGGGCTCCGAGTGGTGCTGGGCCGAAGCATAGGGGATTTTCTTTGGGGCCTTCCATTCATATGGGGTCTCAATGGCTGCTGATGGGCCTGAGGCAGTGAGCTGAGAGGGTGGGTAGCTACTCAGAGATATCTTTTTACCAAATGCACCAGATCCTAACAGCATATTGTCGATGAATTTGATGTGCTCCTTGTAGTACTCCAGGTCATCCTCCATGTTCACCTCATCTTTTGGTTCATCCTTTGAAAGCAGGTCTCCCTCATCATTGATCTGGTTCACTTCTTCAGCACAGTCATCAGCACAGCGCCCATTAGACAGAAGCTCTTCTTTGGCCTAAATGAAGTAAGGCAGACATCATAAGTGACTATACAAATAACAATATTTATGTGGACAATATCGTTCTTTGAAAAAAAAAAATATCAAGGCGAATATGACTCCATCCATCCATTTTCTGATCCGCTTTATCCTCACAAGGGTCGCGGGGGCGGGGTGGTGCTGGAGCCGATCCCAGCTGTCTTCGGGCTGTAGGGGGACACCCTGAACCAATTGCCAGCCAATCGCAAGGCACACAGAACCATCCGCGCTCACACTCACACCTAGGGACAATTTAGAGCAGTGGTTCTTAACTTGGGTTTGATCGAACCCCAGGGGTTCGATGAATCAGTCTCAGAGGTTCAACACAGCCTGGTCGAACAAATATGTACCACATGGATTCACATGTATCACGGAACATGATTGGACTCAGCATCCTACCTGCATGATTTGTCATGCCAAGTTGAACAACTCTAGTCTCGCACCAGCAAAACTGAAGGAACATTTCTTGAATCAAATTTTTATTTTTCACTAAGGGTTCGGTGAATCTGCATATGAACTGGTTGGGTTCGGTGCCTCTCACAAGGTTAGGAACCACTGTTTTAGAGCGTTCCATTAACCTGCCATGCATGTTTTTGGAATGTGGGAGGAGTAGAGTGAAACTCCTCGACAACGAAATCATGTTTGCAGCAAGAAATTTTTCACAACAGGGGCTTTTTCACTGCAACAAATTTGATCTCAGATGTAAGCGCACACACACACACACACACACACACACACACACACACACACACACACACACACACACAAACAAACGTATGTGTACACGCACACACAAACGTATGTGTACTCTATTTTTATTCCAATAGTGCATGTATGAGCACACACTTATTTGACACTTCATATTGTCAGTGTAGAAAGAAAAAAATGGAAAGAAATTGCAAAATTTACGATCAGCATTCACTTTCACTTACATCATTTTCTTGGATAATGTCTTATTTTGCTTGCTCAGTCTTTCATTTTGATCACTTTTATCCTCTCTTCCAGCATCAGAGCTCTTCTTGTCTTAGCTGCTTGACATCCAAAGGTCCGTTTTGGAGCATTTTAGCAATGCAATGTTCCTGCTGCGTCTGAAACTAACAATAACAAATACTTCCTGGACTACTGCGCATGTGTAAACCAGTCGTCTGAATCTAACAATAACAAATACTTCCTGGACACGGTGGCTTTCCTATCCACCATCTCACTGTCTCGAACTCGACCTCCCCTCGATCTTCACCCAAGACAGCGTTGCTCAGCTGATGTCATGCAATGAACTTTTAAGCCAGCCACAGGACGCTTCGTAGTCCTCGATGGCCATAGTTAGCTCTCGAAGGCTAAAAACCGTACGCTAACTGGAGCGCTTCTCTCTCTCATTAGCACTCCAGTTAGCGTAAGGTTTTTAGCATGATAACAATAAAGCATTTTCGAGGAAAATGCTTTACTTGTTATACGAGGAAACGTTCGTTTATTTGAATGTCCGTCGAGCCATAAGCAATTTACTCTGAGCAGCTAATCGGATGCATTCCACTCTATCTTCTACGGATCTAGCTTCAGTATGTACACACATAGACAGTGAGGTCCCTCTTGGCCAATCGGAGGCCAGGATGATGCTCGGTAAGCCAATGGCAGAGCAGATATGAGTATGTTGAGTCCAGGAAACTGCAGCCATCACCGAAATAAACATTGTTCACTATGTAAACCAGTGTGGTGGTTGCTGTTGCCGTTTCCGAACGAAGCAGTAGAGGTCGATGTTGGATTAGACTTCGTTGTAGTGAATGTCTTCGCGAGGCTGGAGCAGAGAAAATGATTTCGTATAACGCAACAGGGTTTTTTTTCGTCATATGGGGGGGGCAGTAGAATGGGAATGGTGTTAATGCATGAAGATTTTTTCACATTAGGGGGTATTTTCGCCCATGTAGGTTTCGTTCTAGAGGAGTTTCACTGTACCTGGAGAAAACCCACGCAGGCATGGGGAGAACATGCAAATTCCACACAGTGAACCACTGCACTGTGAGGTCGATGCGTTAACCACTCAAAATTAGTGAGTCCCACAAATATTTGGGCATCGGCATTTCTCATCCTTTTGGCTCAAAACACCAACATAATGGATTTGAAATTCAGCGAACAAGAGGTGATGTGCCATAATCGCAGAGTTTCAGCTTTAATTTGACGGTAATTACATACCGACAAATCAGGTGTAGGAATGGCAACAGTTTGTAAATACGCCTTCTTTTAAGGAAACAAAAACAAAGGGACACTTGGCTGCTCAGTTGTTCCATTGCCAGGTGTGTTCATCCCCCATTACCTATTACAATGAGCACATAAAAGGTGTAGAGTTTGTTTCAAGTGCACTATTGGCATTTGGAATCTGTTATCGTCAACTCTCAATATGAGAGCCTTATATATCTTTGTATCACTCACTCATTCATTTTTCAAACCAAACAGGCAGAACCCCCCAGAAAAAACAGATTTTTCATCCATCCATCCATCTTCTAATCGCTTATTCGAACGAGGGAGGCTCATTTTCCAATTCCCGATATTGTGCTTATTTAAATGGAAAATGGGGTGAGATGGGCCAACTTGAATATTTCATATAGTTTGGGTATTGTTATCAGCCGCAAGTTGTGTAACCGGGAAGTAAAGTTGAACCGAAAGAGAGCTTTCAGCTGTCTCACTGGAACTTCACTCATTTCTTTTGAGACGTGGGCATGACCACAGTTTAAAAAAAGTGTGCCCACACTTTTTCAGCATGCGAGCTATTTATAAGATGATAAAGTCCATGCTGATCTTATTTTTTTTTTATTTATGTGTTTATCTATGCATTTATTTATTTTTAATAATGTCATTTAATATTTTATAAATCTTCTAAAAATCTGCAATAATACAAAAGTAAATTGTGGCATCTTCTCTTCCATCCTACTGGGGCAGTTCCTCAGGCAGGTAGGGTCCTCTTGATTCGAACCACCTGGCTCATTTCATATGTGTATGCTCCTGACAAGTCATCCCTTGCTCTGTGCTTTGAGGTAAGACTTCCTTTTGTTTGTTTCCGATTTTGTTTGTCTCATTCACACATCGGACATTTATCTGTGCACTTTGCACATGCTTCAGATATTTACATGCACATACATGTCTTTGCCTTTTCTTAACGCGATATTACAATTTGCGCAAGGAAAAATAAAAAAACAAAAAAAGTTTGAGGTCTCTGTTGTTGTATTCTACGTTTCATAATGCACCACACATTTTCAGTGGGAGACAGGTGTGGACTGCAGGCAGGCCAGTGGAGTACCCGCACTATCGTACTGCGAAGCCACGCTGTTGTAACATGCAGAATATGGTTTGGAATTGTCTTGCTGAAATAAGCAGGGGCGTTCATGGGAAAAAAACAAACCAAACAAAACCATTGCTTGGATGGCAGCATGTTTCTCCAAAACCTGAATGTAGTTTTCAGCATGAACTTTCACAGATATGTAAGTTACTCATGCCATTGGCACCAATCCAGCACCAGACCATCACAGTCCATAACAGTCCGGAAGGTTCTTTTCCTCATTGGCCTGGAGGACACAACTTCCAAAATTTCCGAAACCAATTTGAAATTTGGACTGATCAGACCACTTTTCCACTTGGTATCAGTCCATCTTAGCTGAGCTCGGGCCCAGAGACGCCAGAGGCGTTTCTGGGTGTTGTTGATAAATGGCTTTTGCTTTGCATTGTAGAGTTTTAAGTTCCATGTACGGATGTAGTGCCGAACTGGATTTACTGAAATTAATTTTCTGAAGTGTTCCTGAGCCCATGTGGTGATATCTTTCTACAATACAGCTTCATTTATATGGCACTTTTGCAACAGCTGCAGCTGTAACAAAGCACGATACAAGCAAACACCTCATACACATTGAATGGCCGTGACCTTCAATCCCTCAGGCGGCAAAAACTGACGTAGTTGGTTTTCGGCCTTGCTACTTACATACAGTGATTTCTCCAGATTTTCTGAACCTTTTGAGGATATTTTGGAATGATATTATGGCGTGCTCAAACTATGTGTGAAATAAGGCTCTGAGGCACAATTGTTTGGTGAATGAGCATATGAAAATGGTGAAGTTCAGTAGCTCCAACAAGGTTAAGAACCACGGCTCTACAATAACTAAAAATCCAACTCCAGCATTTATCAAAACACAATTATCAGCATTAAGTACAGTAGTGTTGCATCAAGCACTAGTATCAATATCGAAGCAACATTTTTAGCCAGGAAAAATGACTCGCCACCATCATTTTAAAGTACCGGTAGTTGTGGAAAAACAAATAAAAATATGCAGCGAAATGGCATGTCAGTGTCACATGAATATAGAGAGGCAGACAGATGTAGCAATAATGGATAAAAATTATTCAATTAATTAACAGCAGCTAAATTTTACCACCTGCAGTGCAGTGTGTCGTTTTTTTCTTTTTAATTTAAAAGGGTTAAACGGACCAAAATTAGTCATTAGTCAGAAGGCTGCTATATTTAAAGACGTTCACTTTTTGGAGTTTAGAGGTTAATAACTTTTATTTTTTTTAAGCACACATACAGTAACATAATGCAGTTTTATAAGGTGATGTTTATTCTCTACAGCTTCCCCTTCAGACAGCAACTCATGTCCCCTTTTTAGGCACACCAGTGCCATTTTGATGATGATGACGACACATTTCGTGAGGGTCACCAAGATGTTCAACCAGGCAATATTCATTTCACAGACATGCCTGCTGTCTCTTGGGCTCTTGAAGACATTAAACTCTTCGTGGATAAATAAAACATTTTAAGTGTTGTCTGGACCTGATTTCCCTACACGTCAAACAGGCAAGGCACGTTAGATAGGGATGACACCTTAACGGCAATATCGCGATACTACAATTGCCGTTGCCATCGTCATGACATTAAAAGCAGCCCATCTGTTAAAAGGGTCAGATTATTTTCCATTTGTGCAGTTCCAGCACCCTCTGGTGGCTAGTTTATTAGTGTGGTTTAATTTCAATTTGGCATGTTTAGGCCACGTACCTACATTTAAGACCCACGCTCATCGCCAAACGAAGGGGAATTCCTCCACAAATTGATTCGATTCACAATGTATGTGTGCATTAGCAAGTAAGTGCCTCAATTATAGTGGTAGGCTATCATTGATCGTAGGGTGTGTGTGGACATTGAAGTGACTGTTTACCTGTACTATTTGAAATATAGACGAGCCAGTTACATGAGATTTCTCATGTTTATTTTATTTGTATTTATATTTTGTGCCCCACACACACACACACACACACACACACGCACACACACAAGCAAATTAAACAGTACAAAGAGAAAACCTGGTCTGATGAGTGGTCTTATGGACAATATATTAAAGCCGGATATAATGCAGCGGTTATCACTCACATAAATCAGACATTCCAGCAAATAGCCGAATGATTCTTCGTTTTAGGACTGAAAAAGCAATCTCAGACAAGGCGAATTTGAGACCGTTTAAGCTGCGTTTTTTAAAAAAAGGGCCCTTATCCCTCACGCTCACAAAATGGTATTGTGAACGTTTGGCGAACATTTGTGACCTAGAACGAACCCTGATGTGAATGCGTATTTTTCTATCTTTGCCAACAGTTTCAATCATTCATCCCTCGGTGGGATACGAGCTTGAGACGGGTCACATAAAAACAAAAACACAAATAAATAAAATAGGAGGGGAGGGGGGGAAGACAAGAGATTTTATTTGATTGTCTTGAAACTGGGTGTTTCCGCAAAAGACGTTCAAGACAAAAAGCAAAACCAAAGCTTTTTATTTTGTATACTGTTGCTGTGGTTATGTGTTGTTGAAAAAAAAGATGATTTTTATGGAGGTACGTTTGAATATATTCATGGTTTATTTCGTGATTGTGTAAAAAAAAAAAGTTCCATCCAGAAATTTTATGAAGCAAGCCCCAGTTCTGTGTTTCACGTAGGTCTACGAAAAATGGGAGGCAGATGTAGCGACCCTATACCTACAAAATAGCCTCTCAAAACTCAAAATCCCATTTCAGGGGAAAAGAAGAAACCTTGAGCAATGACCACAAATGAAGGTCGAAATATGTGGAAACTTATCAAGCTTCACACACACATCAGGTCTGGCAAGAACGACAAAGAAAACAAAAAACTGATGTTGGTGTCTTATTGTACCATTGTCAAAAACTTGTAAGTCCAATGTGCCAGTATGCCAATGTGACACTATACCCCAAAGTGGCCACGGCGCCAAAGTCTCTGCATAGCTGCTTGCAGCTCTGAGTTATATTCAACACAAGAACGACCAGAATTCTAAAACTACAAGATCTACCCGAGCCGTTAATTTGACGTTTGGCCTCTGTTGAGTCTCACAATGACCTCTTCGCCTACAATACAATGAATCGATTATTACTCGCTGTTTGAGTAGCTAATAATATATTTTGCTTATTAAAATAATGTTTTTAGTATCCAGCCGTGCATTTTCTGATCCGGTTCTGCTCACCAAGGGTCACGATGCGTGCTAAAGCCCATCCCAGCAGTCTTCGGGCAGTAGGCGGGGGACACCTTGAACCGGTTGCCAGCCAATCGCAGGGCACACGCAGACGGACAACCATGGCCCAGGGGGCGAGGCTCCGTCAGGGGGGGCGCATTTGGCCTCGGGGAACATGTTTTTTTATTTTGATTTATTTATTTTTTTTACTGTCCTAGAATAAAGTGCAATTGCACCTCGACTACATTAGGGGGCAGTGGCGCTCACATTGGCAGAGTGCGCTGGGAGCATTCGCTCGGTGTTTTGTTCGCACTGAGCATGCGCGCTTTGCACAAACCGATTTGTATTATTTCATTCCCTCACCCAATGAGAATTGATAAGGAATTGGAACCATAAACACGATCAACAATGGAATCAGAATCGCTAATCAATTCCCACCCTGACTCAATAAATATACCCAACTGAAAGCAAACGAGAGCACGGAACAAACAATTTTTCTCTTGGAATGGCTAGACACTCATTGACTCTCTGTCATTCTAAGCATCTCTCTCTTTCTCAGTGGATTCGTTCAATCAATTACCAAAAGAAAAGAAAAAAAGAAAGGCAACCGAGTGGACAAGGTGAACAAGAATCAGCATGTAATCCACTGACCTCATCTGAATCCAATTTGTCGGTAACTGTCTTGTCCTGATTGACCACATAGCCAGGAGGAAGCCAGTTTACTGGGGGATCAAAGATGGACACCACCATCCTGCTGGGAAGTCCTTTCTTCTTCCCTAAGCGGTAGAGGTTACAGTTGCTCACCTAAAAATTGTGCAGGCAGGACAGGACAGAGCAAGGAGACATGTCATCAACAATGAGAACACGGAACTGGATTGCATCAATTATTTATTCAATTTATCAACTGCTGCGGAACCTGAGTTTTTTTTTAATGCTGTAGTTTTCCTATGATTTTCAAAAATATATTTTTTGGGGTCTTAATTTTGCTTCAGTTTTTGGACAGCTGCTCAATTTTCCTTCACAAAAATGTGACTCAGCTATTCAATTCCCAGAATCGCTGCACATTAATCCAACTTATTTCTTCAGTTGTATATGAAGCATACTGTGAGTGGGTTTTTGTCTGTGTGGGCCCTGCGATTGGCTGGCGAGCAGTTCAGGGTGTACCCTGCCGACTGCTTGAAGTCGGCTCGAGTAGGCTCCAGCATGCCCGCGACCCTCGTGAGGAGAAAGCGGTTCGGTTGATGGATGAGATATGAAGTATTCAAGGTAACACATCCTCTCAAAAATCAGACCTTCAAAATAAAAGCAGAAATCTAACAACATATTTCATCACACTTTCTTGGGGCACATGGTGGTTCATTTGAATGTCACACTCAATCAACAAGCATACATTATTTGCATGGAACTCCTAAATAAGCGTCCTCAAGGACGAATCAAGTGTGGTCCCACTGTTATGATACTGGGATGCCTTTATTTCGTAGGCCTGACTTTTGACAGGGCGGTCATCAACTCTCTTCAATGAAGGAAAAAGTGATGTTAAATGTTCATGTACCGTCATTTAAAAAGAATTAACACTGTTCTTGTAAGTCAGGTTTTCGTGACTCATGTGAATGTATTTTTTGTTAATATTTTTGGCTGTCTGGAATGGATTGGATGTAGAATATTTTGGGAAATCCTAAAGTAAATGTTTTGGATTTTGTATGATTCAGTACATGTGCAACTGACATACAAACTCCTGGAATTTTGGAATACTGTATTTGCTGAAAACAATCATTTCAAATTTTGCAATTATGCATGAAGAATGTCAACATTGAGAGTGAATATGCAAATACAAATTAACATAAAAAAATAACACAATAAAAAAAATAAAAAGAATCTCGGGTCTCATGCAAAATGGAAAGTCAAAGAATAAAAATGTGTTTTAAGAAGAGTTTCAAAGATGGACAGAGAGAGGGCTTGCCTAATATTTAACTTAAGTTCATTCCAGAGGGAAGAATCGGCATCGGACAATAGCCCAATCCCCTCTGAGCTTCCGTTTAGTCCTTGGCTAGGATGTCAAGTAATGAAGTAAAAACACGTAGTTACCTTAGTTAAGTAGAAGTTAAGGGTATCTATACTTTAGTGGAGTCGTTATTACACAATTATGAAACAATGCATTGATTAATCTCAACTGTGGTTATGGGACTCACCTTCTTGCTTCGCATGTAGCTGAGCCTGCCCTCATGGGCATCAGCGTAGGTGCAAAACAGATATGTGGTGATGGCATGTTTGAGGAACGAATCACCCAGCATTTCCAGCCGTTCGAGGTTGAAACCATCACTGGCATTGGAAAGGGTCAAGGCTTGCAGGATAAGGCCTGGGTTGGGCCCCAGCCTTTTTATCGCGTCTCCTGACACTTCGCTGGGATGCAGGACAGCAGCAAAATGATATGAAGGTGCTTTGTGAGCATTGGGAACCTCTTCGGCTTGGCTGTAGGTTGAGGTAGCATTATTTCTGTGGCCGGAGTTCCTTCCTAGTGTGCATTCATCACTATGGTGTGGAGGACATGTGCTGGGAGTCTTCAAGCTGTGAGAGCGCTGCACAGGAATTGAGGTAGGGCTTTGCATTGTTTTAGGGCTAAGCAGTTCAAGAAAGCTACCCTGGGAGCATTGGCAATCATGTTGGTGACTGTGCTCTCCTTCTGGGAGACTACTGCCACCATTGTAAGGAATTAGAGTGGAGCCATTTGCAAACTTCTTGCCACAACTGACGATGGCTTGGGAATGGTGAGGACGACTGTCATCCATTAAAGAAATTGAATAAGGTGTCTGGTTCGCACAATGAATGTCATTATCCTCAGTTAATGGGATGAATATTTTGCTGTCAATTGATTTCTTCCATCCAAAGTCCAAGTTTGGATACCTGGAAGAAAGAAAGGCAATATTCTGTTTTACTTGAATAAATCATATTTCTTGAGCGCAACAGTTAAGAGTGGGAAATTTTTATTATTAGTTCGGTTTTGTTTACCTTCACATTAGTCCCAGGGCGAGTATTACAGTAAGTCACAAAAATGATTTGAAACATGCCTTGGTGTGGTGAAAAAAAGCGGCAAAACATACAGAATTACATGACTGCAGTCACTGTAGAGACACATGACAAGCCACACTGGTTCCAGGTTGCAGTACAGTGATCCTTCGCTATATCGCGCTTCATTTATCGCAGCTTCAGTACATCGCGTCCCCCACCCCCACTACTGTATTCAGAAAAAAAATGCCAAACGACTCAGAGGTTTTGTACATCCCTGTGCTGTATAGGCAACGGGTACTCATTCAAGGACATGATTGGGTCCCCAATGACAGCACAAGTGGATTTATCCTGTGAGCTGAAGGGAGTAACCGAGATGACAAGATGTCATTTCATTGGACAGTATTGTGAAATCGATCGAGAAGGCGGTGGTATGTGTGTCTGTGGGCATCTTTACACACACACACACACACACACACACACACACACACACACACACAGCCTGTTAATATACGTGGTAGGAATTAAAAAAAATCTTTCAGCAGAAAATATTTTTTAGTCCTAAAAAATTCCAATGGATAATTTTGGGTGGCACACCTGATTATCTCTCATGGCACACTAATGTACAATGGCACACTGGTTGGGAATCACGGGACGAGTGTAAAGCCTCTAGGACAGGGGTGCCCAAACTTTTTGGACCGAAGATCTACTTTTCGTTCAGCCACCCTCCCCGGATCGCCCCTTACCGCGCACGCGCACACACACACACACACACACACACACACACACGCACCCACCGCCAAGCTAGCTTGTTTCGCGGCATCAACAATAGGCTGTGTGGGGTGGATCCTCTCTTCCCTGTTGACGAATAAATTTTCCTTCAAGATGCCTTGTGTATTGACGAACCGAGCTGGGAAAGCTGACTGTCATTGCAGTATGTGAAAAACGGAACAATCACGAAAGAGAATGCGCGTTGTACGCACGGCAACAATTTCTGATGTGTACTGCAGACGTGCCGCGCAGCACAACCCGTCGGTTACGGGATGCAATGTTGTCGTCCGTGCGATGGTGGGAGAATAAAGAGCCCTTCAAGGCAGTTATTTGTTGTTCTTTAATTGGGTTGAGACTACAAACATGGAAGATTGTTGTAGTTTGATACCTGAAATCAGGAGGAAGGATTTGTGATCCAACTCCAGCTTCACTGGCTGTCTGGGATCTGAGTTCCTCTGCTGTCAAGAGGCAGTGGAGACGGTAGAGGATACTGGGCAAACACACTGCTTTCCTCCAAAGAGATGCTGGGATGGGGTGGATGGCACAAAGCTCTGGAACCAGGATCTAACAAATACAACACTTGTTACATGAGCTGATCAAAAACAAATGTGTGTATAGTGTGTTGCATAGATAATAAGCAACACTTAGAATCCAAGAGTTATGACTGTGTGAAAACATAAATAGAAAAACAAACGTAATGGGATTTTCTCACATTTTCCCCACTTTGCATATTGCCCAATAAGTGAAAAGAAGAGGTGTAAAGTTTTTTTTTGTTTGCTTTTTTAATGGTCCTTCATAAGTTTGCATGTGCCTGCGAGGGTTTTCTCCGGGTGCTCGGGTGTCCTCCCACCACTTGCAAAAAACTTTCAGCTGCACACGACAGCTGTGGCTTTTTTTTTGTTTTGTTCTTTTAAGAGACGCTCCAATATTACCGTATTTTCCACACCGTAAGGCGCTTCAGAGTGTAAGGTGCACCTTCAATGAATGGCCTATTTTCAATCTGTTTTCATACAGTATATAGTGTGCACCGCATTATTAGGCGCACTGAATACAAGCAACAATAATGGCTGTGGTTGCGTTATGTATTCCAAGTGGATGCACTTGGAATACAATACAAAACAGATTTATTTAAATACAGCTTTCACAACTGCTGCAGCTGTAACAAGGCCCTTGACAGAACATTTAAAATACTACGTCCAAGAAATCAGAATATTGATTATAAGCATTTTTGTCAATTAAAAAAAAAAAAAAAAAAAAAAAAAACGGCAATATTGCCACGTACCTGCTAACCTAATGCATTCCAAGCCTGCCCATAAATACAGACATAAATCTTTTCTAAAGCATAAAAATGCATCCACATATGTAACAAATACATGTTACAATAGGAATATTGAACAATAAATGAGAGTTGTGCATACGTAAAAAACAAAGAATAAAGAATAAAAATGATGATCATTTAATTTTTAACTGCATCCTCATCGTTTTTCCCCTCTTTAGGTCATGTTCTCTCTCAGAAGTGGTTTTTGCCTGGCGTTTTCTCAAGAACTGCTCCAAGAACGTTTGCTTTTGTCGGCTTTGAACAATCCTTCGAAAATGTCCAAAGCAAACATCAGCATAGTGAGCGATCGCCCGACTGGTGAACACTTTTCCTGGGTGATTCACATTTACGTAAAACTATCGGAACGCCTCATGGCCCGAGGGACGAATGACGAGGACACTGCATACACACATATCTATCTTTTTAGCTATCTACATAGACACATACGGTAGAGGTCTCTCTTAGCCAATAGCTAATTGGTAATAGTCAATGGCAGAGCAATTCTAAGTATGTTGCGTTCAGGAAACTCGGAGCTGCTCGTAGCAGCCCATACGTTTTCATTTTTACCTTTAATATCTTGAAATTTCTTTCGTAACAAGAGGCAATATTTTCCTATTGAGGCATTTCCTAACTTGAAAATTTCATATGAAGAGACGTTCGTAAGTAAAGGTACCAGTGTTCATATGGATACATACATAGACAGATACTGCCTTGAAGATACCCCAAAAAACATTACCTGTTTATTCTGGAGACTTTCCCATTTTGCTTTCCTCTTCTCTGCACTACTGAGAGGCAATGCTTTGCCTTTTTGGTTCAAGTGACGAGGTGTTAAAAGATTCAGTCTGTGAGCACAAGACAAGTAATGCTGAAAAATTCAACAAATGTTAATGCATGAAGAGAACAGAAACACATAACATACAGTTCTTAGGAGAATTTTGACAGTTTTCTGTTTCATTATCTCATTATCTCTATCATTCATGTGTATATGAATACACACACACACACACACACACACACACACACACACACACACTGTAGTTAGCATGTTGTTTGAAACTAAAAAAATGAATGTTATGATTTAATCATATTTAATTGAGGACACCACAAAGATGCTTAATGTTCAAAATGCTAAATGTTCTTGCTTTTTGCAATTAATCATTAACTTAAAATTTTGTGGCTGCAACACGTTCCAAAGAATCTGGGACAGGTGGCAAAACAGACTGATGAAGTTGAGGAACGCTCATCAAAAATCTATTTGGAACATCCCACAGGTGAACAGGCTCACAGGGAACAGGTGGCATGATTGGGACGTTTGCTTTTGTCGGCTTTGAACAATCCTTCGAAAATGTCCAAAGCAAACATCAGCATAGTGAGCGATCGCCCGACTGGTGAACACTTTTCCTGGGTGATTCACATTTACGTAAAACTATCGGAACGCCTCATGGCCCGAGGGACGAATGACGAGGACACTGCATACACACATATCTATCTTTTTAGCTATCTACATAGACACATACGGTAGAGGTCTCTCTTAGCCAATAGCTAATTGGTAATAGTCAATGGCAGAGCAATTCTAAGTATGTTGCGTTCAGGAAACTCGGAGCTGCTCGTAGCAGCCCATACGTTTTCATTTTTACCTTTAATATCTTGAAATTTCTTTCGTAACAAGAGGCAATATTTTCCTATTGAGGCATTTCCTAACTTGAAAATTTCATATGAAGAGACGTTCGTAAGTAAAGGTACCAGTGTTCATATGGATACATACATAGACAGATACTGCCTTGAAGATACCCCAAAAAACATTACCTGTTTATTCTGGAGACTTTCCCATTTTGCTTTCCTCTTCTCTGCACTACTGAGAGGCAATGCTTTGCCTTTTTGGTTCAAGTGACGAGGTGTTAAAAGATTCAGTCTGTGAGCACAAGACAAGTAATGCTGAAAAATTCAACAAATGTTAATGCATGAAGAGAACAGAAACACATAACATACAGTTCTTAGGAGAATTTTGACAGTTTTCTGTTTCATTATCTCATTATCTCTATCATTCATGTGTATATGAATACACACACACACACACACACACACACACACACACACACACACACACACACACACACACACACACACACACACTGTAGTTAGCATGTTGTTTGAAACTAAAAAAATGAATGTTATGATTTAATCATATTTAATTGAGGACACCACAAAGATGCTTAATGTTCAAAATGCTAAATGTTCTTGCTTTTTGCAATTAATCATTAACTTAAAATTTTGTGGCTGCAACACGTTCCAAAGAATCTGGGACAGGTGGCAAAACAGACTGATGAAGTTGAGGAACGCTCATCAAAAATCTATTTGGAACATCCCACAGGTGAACAGGCTCACAGGGAACAGGTGGCATGATTGGGTATATAAGGAGCTTCCCTGAATTGCTCAGTCAGTCCCAAGCAATGATGGGGTGAGGTACACCCCTTTGTAAACAACTGCGGAAGAAAATAGTCGCAACAGTTTAATGACAATTGCAAAGAATTTGGAAATTCGGGATCTTCCGTCCATAATATCATCAAAGGGTTCACCACTGGATGTAAGCGGCAAGGCTGAAAACCAACATTGAAAGCCCGTGACCTTCAATCCCTCAGGCGGCCCTGAACAAGATAAAACTGTGTTGAGATTGGAAATATGCATGAAATGTAAGAAACTGTTTTCGTCACCAGGCACTGTTGCTACTGGTTTCCCAGAGTTACGAGTCACTCAGCATTTTGAGCAGAGAGAATTTTAAGATTTTTTTTGGTGCTGAGCAAACTTTGGGGAGCGGGGTTATTTACTGCAATCCATCTATCAACAGTATCGACCAAACGTATCTATCGTATTAAGTATATCAATCGTATCTCTCTATCCTTGCATGTTCTCCCCGGGCCTGCGTGGGTTTTCTCCGGGTACACCGGTTTTCTCCCATATTCAAAAAACATGCGTGGCAGGTTGATGGAACACTCCAAATTGTCCCTAGGTGTGAGCGTGAGCGCAGATGGTTGTTCGTCTGGGTGTGCCCTGCGATTGGCTGCCAACTGGTTCAGGGTGCCCCCCGCCAAGTGCCCGAAGACAGCTGGGATATGCTCCAGCGCCCCCTGCGACTCTTGTGAGGATAAAGCGGATCAGTAAATGGGTATTTCTCTGTCCTGTCTATCGTATCTACCTATCCATCCGTCCATCCACCTAAAAACCCTATTTTAAATTGACCTTTTTTCACCATGACTAATGTATGTAAACACTTCATCATAGTTATAAATAGCAGGCACATACTACTAACCTGGATGAGGTATGGTCCACATCCAAAAGTGGCTGATTCAGGTTAGACAGGTCCAGGTTGTACTTCGTCTTGTAGTACTCAGCAAATGTCTCATATTCCGGTGAAGGAAACTTGCTGAGTGGTGTGAGGTCTGTGTACACATCAGCGACATAAAAGCGATGAGGCTGGTCAAAATTACGGTACCTAGGAGAGGATGAGCAAAAAAAGATGTGTTTACATTCATTTCTCCTGTCATAATGCCTGATTTTGTTGCGATTCAGTCATTCACAAAATACAGTACATTTTGACTTGGTGGATGAAACAGAAAAAAATAATTCACACTTCAGTCTGCCTTTGAGAAAGCTGAAAAAAAAAAAACAAGTCAACTCAGACCTATAAATCTCTCTTGAAGACAGAGAAGCCTAGCCATCGGTTTATTGTGGCAAACAAAAGTTTAGATATCATTTTGGACAATCAGAGATGAAAGTGGACTTTCCTGAAAATTCCTAAAAATACAAATGCGAGCACCAAATATATATATACTGTATATATACAGTAATCCCTCGTTTATCGCGGGGGTTACGTTCCAAAAAGAACCAATGATGAGTGAAATCCGTGAAAAAGCAAAAAAATGTGAGAGGGACGAAGTTTTAAATGTGCTGTATGTTTTACATACAGCACATAGGCCTTACGTCGAGACTGGCCGTGCGCGTTCGGTGATTGGATTAGCGCCTTTTCTGTTTCCTGAGAATTGTATCCTAACTTGTTCAATAAAGATTAAAAAAAAAAAAAGATTGGATTAGCGCCTGCTAGAGCATTTTAACTCGCATTTTAACCCAAAATGGCCGAAGGAGAAGACGTTGATCTGGTTGCAGAACTACTTTCCACACAATTTTCAA